CCGTATCCTTCGTCTTTTTTTTTTATTTATACTTCTCTCCTTTATGCATGTAATCCAAGGCTTTTTCGCGGTGGCCGTTCGAAGGAAGGTCAGAAAGATTATAAGGATAAATATTTCATATGTATATTTCTATTACATACAAAAAGATAATTATACAATTATATCTGAATGTAATAAAAATTCAAGTATAATTATCTTTTTTTTACAGAGTCCCATATACAGAGGAAATTAATTTGTAGTTTATTGAGTAACGCGCGTAAATTGAAAGTCTTTATTTTCCTGCGTTTATGTTTTTATTGTTTAATAACACGTTTCTGTTTCGATGACTGTATACATATGTGAATAATTTACTGTTGGAAAACGTGCCACTTACGAAATGTAATGCTTTATTCCACCAGCAGAGCCTCAACAGATGACCCTAACGGTCGTCACATCATTACCAATAATTAAGCAACGGTTCATTGCCTGCAATATAAAGCACTGCGTGTGCAAGTGCACTTCATTTAGGTGAATTGCAGTTATCTGCACGACACTTCCAAGAACATTACTCGATAAATTCTCACGAATTGCGACTATTAAGTTAACGCTGAAATTTTGTACAAACATCTTAATGTATACGTTTTTAATAATGCTCGCGCGATACAAATACACACGGAATGAATTAGATTGTTTATATTACCGACGCCATTGTTTTAATATTTATAAAACTTCTAAAAGTGGAACATACCAGAAAAATAAATCCAGAGATTACCTGAAGGAACTAAATTTATTGCTTTTATTATATTTTTTAATGCGTGAACTGAATTTATGAATTTAGTAATCCATTAAAAAATATAACAAATGATAAAAAATCTAGATATTAAAATCGATACATAATTTCAATGATTGAATGTTTGATTGTACAGACGCAAATTGCTTTCAATTATCTTTTTTTTACGGTAATTCCGACGTAATAGCTTGCAGAAGAAATATATATCGTGTTCGTCGAGTGTATCACGATTTCTAGTTCACGGAGACGGAAGATCCTCCCCGATAATAATAATCACGGATAAACAACGGGTGTCCGTCACTTAACGGCTTGCATCGGTCGATCGACGAACCGTGAATTCCGTTTTGTTATTTCGTCAGCGCGATTCTATCTTTCCTTTTTTAAATGAAAAATATTACGATAAATATTAAAATCCCGGCACAACATTGTTGTCGAATAAAAATTTCTAATGTTGCACGTATCGTATTTTAAAAGCACACAAAAGGATAATATTGGAGTATTTCACACGGAACGATTAAAAAGTGATCAAATCAATGTTCATCAACATTCCAGCTTCGCGTGCTGCAGCACGAAGATCGAATGGAAAGTTACATGAATATATTCAGAGAGAGGGGAGGGGGTAGAGGGTTATCATCCCGAAATAAAAAAAAGGTTAAAGTTATGATTTATAAAACTTAAATATTGTTTTCATTTAAAATCAGGAACAAGAAGATATTCTAAGCTCCAAAAGAGCAATTTATTAATAGCAAAAAAGCAATTCGTAATGCAAAAAATTGCCGTGTTATTTATTTATGCTTTATGCGTTAAGAGTTAATAAAACCTTTCCGAAGGAACATTCTAATGACATTCATGGAAAGTTACCACCGGTTTCGGTCCTTTTGATCTATTCGCTGTTACCGGTAGCTACATGGAATTTTATCACGATTTCTTTTTATCCGATGTAACGAAGAGCAACTGAATTATTTTGCTCGACACGGTGCGATGAAGATTCGCAGGGCAAATCAGGTTGTCGACATACATTCGAGAAATTCCGAAAGTAAATTCGCCCCGTCTGCTCGCGGCGGAACGAAACGGTAGGATGCCTCGGGAACTAAACTTCCTTCTTCTCAATCTTAATTAACGCATCCTTATGTCACCGCGGCACAATCGTTATGTCTAGGGCGACCGCATCTGCAAGTAATTTCTATTGCAACGAACTGGAAATGCGCGAGTCATTTACATCATCGAAGTGTAAAACGTTCTTGGAGCGAAAGTTCTAAACGTTCTTATTTACTCATTTGGAATGAAAAAAATAAAATTAAATCTCAGATTTGAATTTCAGATTAAAATACACCGGATGAAGCTTGGAGAAAAATTTGACGTCTAGAATAATCCTATTTTTTTCCATTCTTCCTTTGACTCGTCACGTAAATCTCCGTATTTCATCCGTTAGAGACGTTCATTTCCTACTTTACTTAAGGAAGATTGAAATAAGCGTCTCGTGACAGGTGAGCCTCTTTTAAACTTCCTTTTGCAGTTTAGCTCGCTTTTGCATACCGTCCGGAAGACGGTACTTTGTGAGACGGTAATCGGCACGGAGCTGCTCTCGCAGCGAAGGAAATTAGGGGCACATGTCAAGGCCATAACTGTCCTGAGTTGAGGAATCACCTCGTGCGCGTCTCACGTATACAAATATAGATTTTATCAAAAATTCATTGGCGATTATACACTTCGTGTCAGATGATGAGAGTCGAATGTGAACCGTCACGGATCATACGCGATTCAGGTCCCAAGGGTTTTGGGTACATCCGTTATATCACCGGCGTAAACACGCCAAGCCGAATAAAACACTGGTTTTCATGACACCGGAATATAATGCTATATATACTCGTAACTGGGTCATTTTGGCCAAAGGGACTGTCATTACAAAGTATTTATACTTGTCGCAACAGACTTGATCCAAGGGAGTCATTCAACTGTTCACAGTAACTCTCTAGGAATCCCTTGAGCTTCAATGTTGACAAAATGATATTAGGATGAAAGGATTAGAAGTTTGTTCCATATAATAAAAATGTCTCCTGAGAGACGCGAGTAGTTTAGAATCAGTTAAAATAAATTTAATTTGTGAAATTTCAATTTTCAATATTTGAAATTAATTTCAAATTGTTAAATTAATTTAAAAAACTAAAATTTTTATTTCTGTAATATACTAATGTACATGTGTTTTATATAGATATATAATAAAAAAATAATAGATTTTTTTCCTAAATGATTTCTTCTCTGCAATAAAATAAAAAAATTGTGCGAAGTGTGAAAAAAATAATTTTAATATACTTCAATTCTTTTCATCAAAATCTAAATTATATAAAATTAATCTCAAAATTAATTGCAAATTCCATTTTCCGCAGAATAATCAAAATTAAAAAACAATGAAAGTAATTTCAATTTATTTCTCGAAAATTAACTTAAAGATTAGAAATCTTTCGATAAAATTTCGTAAAG